CCTTAACAGCAACCCAGTAACAGCTCACCTAAAAATTAAAGACAGTGGTACCCGCACAAGTCCTATCAACGACATCCAGGGACATCCAGAAACCCACAAGGACCCCTTAAATCAGTGGAACATGAAGTTCAATACAAACCTTGGGGGCGTCCATTCCTCTGTGGCCTACTTTTTCAAGCGTGTCTTCCTTGAGGGCGGGTGCATAACCAACCCTAAACCCGCATCCTGCCTGGGGAATGTAGACGCCCGCATCGCGCTCCATCTCAATTGCAGGCTTGTCTGCCAAGGCATCGCTGGAATCTGACACCAGATCCCAAATCTGCTGAATGCCTTACTTCAAGGTTTAGGGCTNNTAAGGGGGAGTGGGGGCGCGAATATGGGGATTATTCTAGGGGTATATACGCAGATTGTGTAGGGATAATCATAGGGATCCACCCCCTCTCTCCCTGCAGCACCAATAAGTTAGGGTTTAGGGGATTCCTGGTTGCATTTGAATGACCTGCTACAGATTGACAAGTTCGAGTTTCTAATTCAGCTTGCAGAGCAAGATTCGTATGGCCTGCGCGCCCATGTCGGTAATGGCGCCTCGCTGCACAAGGAGCCTTCTATGAGCAGCTAGCATCTTGCAACTCAAAAGACTCCTGAGTGCAGGGCTCATCTGCGAGACTAGAGTGGTGAAGGCATCCTCCAATCCGGCCAGGATTGAAAAGGCCTCCATCATAGCGCCGAAGTCAATATCTCCAACAAAGTACTTGCCTCGGGCAGGAGGAGCACGAGCATTGAGCCCGCTTAATGGCTCCTAGCCTCATACCCTGAACCCTGAACCCAACCTCTACAACCTAAACCTTGAGCCCTAAACCCTAATCGGCCCTAACCCCTGAACCTTTAAAGTCTAAACCCTAAAACATGCTCAAATCTAAACCTTTACACCCTCAAGCTCGAAATCCCACCCCAATCGCCCCAGCCTGCGAGGACCGCAAAAGGTGCTACGCGCACCACATACCTTAAGATGGGCCCCCCACCGACTACACGGTTCTGGGGTTAGCGTCAGGGACCGAGGATACTGGTAAAGTTCATTGCGCTCCTAATACTACTAGTGGGCGGGGCCGTACCCAGCACGTACCTGACTTCTTGCAGGGGCTGATACCAGGCTCTCTCACGCCAAAGCGCCTTTCATGGACCCCAAGGATATGCACTTATGTTATGTGCTTATATATATATATATGTGAGCAGCGGACGAAAGTTCTT